GGCAAACCGACTATTAGTATCGTAATAGCAGTTTTGCAAATAAGCTCTTCATATATTGTACGACGTTTATAGGCTTGCACAACGTATTACGTTAGCGCAAGATTGGCGCGCGGTGCAATGGGAACGATTTATATCGCAATTTTGTCAACAAATTATAGAGTGACTTTTATTCTGAAGAGAATTTTTTCCAAATATTGTGTACTATATTGTTGCCCAATGTCGCATACTATCATTTCATACGAAAAATTAATGCAATTTGCAAGGACACCTGATGATATGAACTTTCATGTGCATGCAGCTGCATTTGAGATATTCGTTGTGCTCTTTTTATATCTAATAACTGCAGCGAGTTAAACCCCTATTGTGTAGCTTAAAAGCTTTCATTTAAAATTCTCATTCTTTCCCAATATATATTACTAATTGCGTACAACCAAGACCCCGCATTGAGTGCAAAATGGCACGTATTCTCTGCATTATTGTTGCGGAAAGACGCCGTTGTGATCTAATGGCATCAATACATATGCAGATAGTATATTTATTTGCTAAGAGCGGTTTCGTCTCGCTGCAAAGAAATAGCAAATTGCAACCGAATGGCGCAAATTTCGTGCCTGATTGACGCTCAATGAACGCTATTTGACACGTGATCACGTAACGCAGGCGACACACGTGCCACTCGCGTTTAAATGTTAAGGTACATGCGCGTGACAGCGCCCCGAAAAAAAAGGTCGAGGTTCAGAAAACAAACAACGAGAAGAGAGTGAACGCATGCGAAAAACGCATCGACGGCCATAACGCAATGTAGCTAACCTGCTAGCAGACATGTGAGCAGTTTTTCTTAACATGGGTTAGGAGTTAGATAACAGAAGCTAAGAAAGTTATAAGCGATATAAGGTTATAAGATTGGAGATAATACAGATAAGGAATAATAGTTAAAGATACGAGATAAGGTAAGATAAAAATAAGATAAGATAAGATAAGATAAGATAAATAAGGTCAGAAAAAATACAGCAAACGAGATAGACATAGAGATAGGATAGTAGACATCATATATATGTATATATATATATATATGTGTGTGTAACGAACTTCGGCTGCTATAGCCTCATATCCCCGAATCCTATCGTTCTGTCGCGTGTCTCAGCATCCCAGGTCGATGTACAGCATCCCTGGTGGCTATGACAGCGATCACGTGATTTCCACCGGTTGTATGAAGGAAACCTGTGGGGTGATGTGTGGCTTGTCATGTGATGTGCGTGACATAAAACATGACTTGATCACGCGTCTCTGGTGATGCATGATGGGATGGTAAGAAGCCCTACCCACGCTGAGCTTGTGGTATAAATACGGGGCTCAGCTCTCAGTAAGGCAGAGTATACGATCTGGAGCGACCGAGACGGGTCAAGCCAGCATTGCGGCCAAAAGCGGGAGCGCCTCATCTTCACGGATCACGTAAGCATACCAGTATCTAGTTAACCCCTGCACATAGCAAGTAACTTAATACAGGGTGTTATCTAGTACTGTTTGGCTGTTCAGTTCATCGTGCATATTTCTACACCCCAGCGACAACGCTGTGTGGGATTTTGTGCACCACCTTTTAGCTCACCTTAGTCTGTTGACTAAGGCCGAATAAAAGCCACGGGCCTATTCCCGGCGTGAACACTTTTATCACCTTGTTCTGGTTTTACGTGTTGCTATTTCTTGTGTTGACAACTACACTACAATCCAGCGGTCGAACATTCATTCTTCGTTACAACTAGACGAAAAATCGTTGCATATATATATATATATATATTTATATATATATATATATATATATATATATATATGAGAATATATAAGTTATTAGACATTCAAAGAAATTTTACAATAATCCATCTTATATAATCTAACTCATAGATAGATATATTTGTTTACTTCCAAAGAAATCACAGCGCATTTTTATGGTCTCGCGCAAGCGGAAACCCCGTTCATGATATAGCGAGATATAGTCCCTTATAGTAGGACGGTAATGTTCGCAGCTCGCCTGTGCGTGAGATCTGAGTCTAGTTTTCTATTACCTGTTTAAACAACGTGCAGCGTTTGAGGATAGGTTGTGAGATCACAGCAACCTGATGTGCAAAAAAACAAGTAAAGTAAAATTTTGATTTGTGTGCGAAAACACGCATGAGCACGCACTCGCAAATGAATGCGCGTACAGAAGCGTGCACGTTCATTATACATATAATACCAGGAGTCTATCAATATTGATAGATTCCTGATAATACACGTACGTGCGAATTCACGCACGCTTGCACGCACGCGCTCACACACATGCATACGAGCATAGGCACTTGGGACAAAGTCAGTAAAAACTAAAAAACTAAAATAATATGAAACGCACATTACAAATACTACCTCTCAATTACACTTCCACTGTTGTAGTCCACCAACTTTCTTTCACAAAAACTAATGCAGAACGCTACCGCACTCGCCGCTTCGAATGTGCTGTGTCGCCATTGTAATCGAGACTGCATACGAATAGAAATATCGAGCAGTATATTTCTATAAATATCATATATCTATATGGTTCGTCTGGTCGTTGGTGTTTGATCACGGGCGTCATCTAGTACAGATTTTCACGAAACATACGTTCACAAAGGCCGCGTTTCACAAAGCCCCGTTGGGTAAAATCCGCTTTGTCATTAAGTAT